AGCCTAGTTCATGCTGAAATGCATGCTAACAGCGATATTAAATGATTATTTCGCCTTTATTCCTAAGCACCATTAGATCCAAGGTTGTGTTATAAGTAATTCAATTACAAGGACAATCATATTGATTGAGTTTCCAAGATATTTCTGAGGAAAAATTTTTAAAAATTAGCTATAGAATAAATAAATCTTAAAAATAAGATGACTGAATTTGTCAGTGTTGGCATGAAAGATTAAATTAGGATATTTTACAGGATCTCTACAAGCAACAATATAAACGAATGATTATAATTGTGACGTACCTTTAGAGCACTCACAGTCACTCCTCCAAATAAAAAGTAGAACTAAAAATTCAACAAGTACATTTGGTTTTCATTTCCTGATTTCTTCAGATAAAGGATAGACTTGTTTAGTACACAGAACACTGCCCGACATCAGAAACAACTGAATTTTCCTCTCTCATCTCCTGACAGCCCAATTGGCTTCATAAAGGACTTGTCCACACCACCTGGAAGCTTATTAGAAATGTATCCCAGCTCAGTCTACTCAATAAAATCTGCATTTTAACCAGAACCATGGGTGACGTGTGCACATTAAAGTCTGGAAGCATTGCATGCATTACTTATTAGATATATTCCCTTGGGCAAGACCCAGTTTCTACACTGAAAAGTGACTCTAATAATAGTACCTCCACCACGGTGCTACTGTGAGGAATTATTAGCTCATTCTATTTAATAATCAGCATCAAAAAAGTATAACTAATATGAAGTTCTATCATCTACATCTTATTTGCATGTTCATGATTTTTCACCTACATTTTATATAAAAGAATGTAAGTACAACATTCAGGTAAATGAAAGCTGCTTTAATCTAGATACCTCCCTTCCTATAAAATCACCTACAGCAAAAGCAGAAGCAAATTAAAAATGCCACCTTCTATTCATTCACAGCATAGCATAGCTCCTGTGTTTCAATTAACTTAGAAATATTTCCCTATGAAATCATCCTTTCTATTTTTATTGAAGCAAATTAGTTAAATAAAGAACAGTATGAAAACAAACATGAACCTGTCTCCCAGACATCACGAATTCTATGCTAATTACCCATCATGACTCCTATACTTTGCTATCATGGAGGTAATATCATCACTGATCCCCCACAGAATTCAAATAACACATTTCTTTAACTTTAACCAAAAATGAGAAATAAGAAAAAGTCTCACGTTTCATGTCAATCTGATAAAGACACGATGCACAGACTTCATTCAACAGTATCTTGTAGAAATTACTTAATGCTATTAAAGTTTAGGTTGCAAACATTTATATCTCTAAGTGTTTTAAGGTGATATTAATCTAAAGAAAATTGGAGATAACAATACTTTTAATAAATTCATCCTTTCATGGATAAGGTTACTAAATATTTTAAATTATAATAAATATTGAACTAGAAATTTGATAAACCAGATATAACAATAGATATTCCTAATACCTACAACAAGATCAGACTGTAGATGCCTTAAGAGTGATAATCAAAAGATTTATTAGTGTCTGAGAATGCACATAGAAATTTGAAGGCCACGATAACTGTTTGGAGATATAAAGTATTTCCCAAAGTTTTCTGAACAAATAATAATGTCAAAAACAAAATCCCAGCTTAGATTTATTAGATTAATTACACACTGAACCTATATTATTTAGATAAAAAATAAGCTCTAGTAGTATGAAGGTGCGTCTTTAAAAGTACACTGGTAAGCATGGGACTGATCCAGACCCCCTGAATGTGGGTGTCAGTGAGGAGACCTAGACAATCTATGGGTCCTTGTGCAGTAGATCAGTATTAATCCCTGGCATACAAATGGACTTTGAGTACCCATCCCACATTGGGGATGCTCTCTCAGCCTGGACACATGGGGGAGGGCCTAGGCCCTGCTGTGGATGAAATGACAGACTCTGGATATCCACCATGGAGGGCCTCACCCTCCCTGGGGAAAGGAGTGGGGATTGGGTGGGGGGTTGGGGATAGCTTGGGAGGGGAGGGAGATGGAGCTGGGATTGACATGTGAAGCAAGCTTGCTTCTAATTTAAATTAAAAAATTAAAAAATGCACTTGGTAAAACTGCTTAGCACAGGGACCAGAAGTCAATAGAGGAAGGGAAACCACACAATAAATGGGCATGGGAAAATCATCTGAAAAAAAGTTTAAATTATAACCTGAAATTGTATACCAGTTCCGCTGCAAATGGATTAAATACAAAACTTAGGAACCTTTCAAATTAATCATATTGTAAAATTTTGTATATGATTTAATAGTAATGGAGAAGTACTTAGAACAGTCTGGAATACTTTGACTACATTAAAATGAAGGATTTAGAAAAATAGACAAGGAAGACAATGAAAAGGCACAAATGAAAATTAACTAGTTTACACAACACAAAGAACTGACCACTATACTCAACTAAAAGAACACAAACGTGCGAATGACATGAGCAGACACTTCACTGGAGACGAAAGGATAGTGACTGAATTAACCCTCTTCAGACTGAAAGCTCCTCTTCAGAAATCCCATCCCATTGCATAGCCATTTACGTGCAGATAACTAAGAGCTCTGACACCGTTGCATCTGTTCCAGATTTGAACTAATACGACCTTAGATATTCCACGTAGAGAACTAAGCAGACAAAATGTTTGGTGAAAACAGCTATCATATCTAATTGAAGTACTTCTGCCTGTCAGTCCTACTAACCTGGACTGAACGATGCTCCTCAATTAATACATGACTGTGAGTATAACCATCCTTGATTACCTGTGATTTTATTTTTCCATGGTGTCCATAACCTGTGTTCACACATAGCCTGAAATTATTAATGGTAAAATTCTGGAAATGATTAATCCATACATTTTAAATTTCATGCCATCCTGAATACTATAATAAAACCTCATTCCCATATTGCCCAGAGCATGACTCATCCCACAGAGCTGGGCTGTCCGTAATACATAAACCATCTTTATGCAGTCATTTAATGTGATGGCCACCCCAGTGATCATGGGCCTGCGACAGTCTCACTGTTCTCACCGTCTTTGCAATAGCACACCACCAAGTGCGCCGACCTCATTTCATCACCTAGGTGTGAGTCGTCTTAAGTCATCACGGATGGGTGAACACAGTTAAGCAGGATATTCAGAGGCAACTTTTATTATTTGACTATAATTTCATTAGTGATAATTGTTATTAATCTCCTATGTCAGTTTATGACTAAAACTTGGTCACAGAAAAAATACAGTATAATTAGATCAATGGACTCATCAGCCAATTCAACCCGTCATAGATAGAAAGCAACTTTTAAAATTGGATTAGTACAGAACATGCGCAGAATGTTTTCCTGTCATTGTTTCTTAAACAATGGAGTATGCAGAACACCCATGCATCATTTGCATTGCTTAGGTACTGTCATTAATTTAGAGATGATTTCGAGAACTCAGAAAGATGTATGTAGGTTATATGGAAATATTCTATCACTTTACACAAAGGACTATGAATCTCTGCCTACTTGGGGGGGGGAGTCTTTGAACCTATCTCCCACAGATACCCAAAGATTCTTGTTTAGGGTTCAATACTATCCACAGTCTTAGTCCTCCCCTAAGTTGCATCAGAATGATGCAGATCTGGAGTTATATATAAATTGAGGTTAAATTAAAGTCAGTGAACCATACAAACACAGTGTGGGGGAAGAAAGGCAAGCCTCTAAAGGTGACATAAAGAGTGACATATTATAAAACATAAGCAAAATTTTAAAAATTGTATAGCCAAGCAGCTATAAGAGGGAAAACTTCTTTTATTTTTTTATTTTATTTTATTTTCCAGTTTAAATTTAGATAAGAAACAAGGTTGCTTCACAAGTCAGTTCCAGGTCCCTCTCCCTTTCCCTCCCCTCCTCCCGTGCCCTCCCCCCAAGCCCCACCCCGTTATCCCCTCATTCCCCCAGGGAGGGTGAGGCCCTCCATGGGGGTGTCCATAGTCTGTCACTTCATATAGGGCAGGGCCTAGACCCTTCCCCAAGAGTTCAGGGTGAGAGTGCACCTCACATTGTTCTATGGGAGTCCAAAGTCCAAAGAATGTGTATACTTGGGATGGGTACTGATCTGCTGCTCAAGGCTCAATAGATTACCTAGGCCTCCTCACTGACACTCACATTCAGGGGGTCTTGATCAGTCCCATGCTGGATTCCCAGGCTGATGCCTGGGATTCAAGAGTTAACCTTTGTCTGGTCAGCTGTTTCTGGGGGTTAAACCAGCCTAGTCTTAATCCCTTTGATCATCAGTCCTCCCTCTCTGTTACTGGCTTTCTTGAGTTCAGCTCAGTACTTAACCAAGGGAGTCTGCCTCTTCTTCCATCAGCCACTGAATGAAGTTTCTGTTTCCCAGACTCTCTGGCCATAGGATTGTAGGCTGGCACTCCCCAGATCTATGTCTAAAATCCATATATGAGAGAGTACATGCCATGTTTCTCTTTTTGTGACTGGGTTACCTCACTCAGGATGGTTTTTTCTAGTGTCATCCATTTGCCTGCGAATCTCATGATTCCATTGTTTGGAAAACTTCTTTTAAAAGTCAGAAGTGGCACACTGGGCACTTTGGTAGGAATGTCGGATTACGGAATAGTAGAGCACAACAGTATGTACTGGCAATAATAATGAGGTTATGTTTTAGAATAGATTAAAATGTGTTCAATAGATTATAATATAGAATGACACATAGGTGTAAATCTGCATGTATCGGTTAAATATACATCTCTGATGAAAAATGGTATAGTAATACAAATAAAGCAACAGGCAGAAGAAAATTATCTGTTTATTTGGGAATCACATGAATACCATGAATTCATCAGTTGAACACAGTTAGCAAAAGAAAAAAAGTACACCAAATAAAAAGCTCAAACACAGCAAGAAACAAATAACACATAGCCAAGGGGAAATGAAGAAAAGAGAAAACACAAGCTAAACTCACCACCAGAGCCTTAGATCGGTTGCTCAGGAGTTTCTCAATATCTCTGGCTGCAATTTCCACCAGCTGGCGTGCATTATTGGGCTCCACAGTATACAACTCTTGGTATTTTTCATAAATCTATGCCAATTGAAAAAAAATAAGAGCATTGACTATTTATTTGGCTCGTAAATTTCCAAAAACCAAAAACAAATAACTAGAAAGATCTCCTCATTTTTCCTATTCATGACACTTTTAAAGAGTTCATATATACACCAGAAAACATACAGAAGTAAATGCAAATTTATTGTAAGACTACTAGTTTGCAGAAATAATAGGCCAGGACACTAATTATAAGATATGTGTCACAGCAGTTCACATGTAGTCACCCTGGGAAATAAAGAGAAACCCATACACCAGAGATTAAACATGGCAAACATCTTGGAGCAAGGTGGAAGCCTTAGTTAGGTCAGACCAGATGAACTAGGGGGGTCTTCATGCCATACTCCTCTATTATGGTTAGGAAAGGCAAGTTTGCTTCTTCAGTTTATGGAGAGAGGAGAGAAGAAATGAGAGAAGGAGCATGAATCCCCTGCTGTGGTCCAGAAGGAGCCCTCTCAAATAGTTCATGTCTACAGAGCTTGAGAAGTCGAGAGCACAGGACTCAATGCTAAGGTTGTGGAGAACTTTGTACTGGTGGTTTTCTGTTTCTCACGTTAAATGTGGGCATTTTCCGTTTTGGTATTTTTTGCTTAAATCACTGAATAAACTAAGTCAAAGTTTAAGGTAGGACATGAAATTAAGACCCAACCTCACTTCTGGCTCATCCTAGTGTCTGCAGGGTTCTGCTCTAGTGGCAAAGGCAGCCCCTGGTTCACAACACCTGTGCACTCCCAGCAGGGGAGGAGCAACTGGAGGGAGGCGGTGGCTGTGTTTGGCTGGAGGCCTGACCTGAGAAGGAAATCCCCGATGTACTGAGCAGATGGGGCTCACATGCATGACTAAACCATCCTTAAAGCCAGGGCTTGGCAGCTTTGTATTGCCTTGTGAAAGTGAATCCAGGCATATACCAGAACCAGCGCCACTTGCTTTTGTTCTGGCGTCAATTAGGCTTTGCAGGTTCTAAAGGCTGGCCCCAGCTGAGCATGGATGCTAAGCAACAAACGCTCGCTTCAACCGCATACACACTCTAACATTTATCTATCTAAGAGGATGTTAGTTTTCAGTGAGAACACACAGACACACACACACACACTTGTGTATACTCTCTGGGGCATGGAAAGCGCTAAAGATTGATCTCAGGGGGAAACCCGTGTTAGGAAAGCACTTGGCCACTGAAACATATCCCTATGTCCCTATACCTATATATTTTAAGACATTGCTAGCTAGTTGGTATTTTTAAAGATTTAAGTCACCATGTGCTCTTAAAAGAATCAGTTTATGTGAACTCTGAAGTCTCTTGAACATTGACCTGGCAGATTTTTGTTCAAAATATTCCAGGAGCATAGTTTTTGTGGATTAAAAATCCTCCTAATTGGTTTCACCCAGGTCGCCTGCATTTCACCAGATGGCTTTTGCTTTCATAGGAGGGATTATCATGTCGTGTCCTAAACACCCAAGCTATCCTTGACGATTTCCACCCAACATGAATCTCTTTTATTCTGGACTAAAATGAGATTCTAGAAAATCAATACTAGAATTGATTAATTGATTCAAGTTACAAATAGATAAACCTCAACATCACTTTAATTGATCCAGGACAATTAGTTCTGTAGTCAGAACAATAGGGCCAACTGGTGTGAAATGTACTGATGCTTGTATCATTAATATCTTGTGCATATCTCTACAAACTATATCTTCCTTGCAGTATAGGTAGTGTAAAATATGCCCCACAATTACTGGAGATGAATTCAGGTGGGCATTTATTAAGTTATAGCATGTGTCAGACATGCCACTAGTTGTCTTGAAGAATAAATGGATAGTAACTGGTATTATTTTTCAAATACTTAGGAAATATGCTACTGTCCACTAATTGCTCCTGTGTTAAAATGATACTATTGAGAGGTACTGGAACTTTTGTCGGGTGGCACCTATTGGAAGCTCTTTAGATCTTTGGGGAAACTCTCTGGAAGGGAACTGGAGACACCTGCATCCTCCTTTTTTTTCTCTATCATTTCATGGGTCTGTGACACCCTGCAACCATGGTGTGCTCTCCTGTCACAGGACCAGAGCTCCTACTGAGTCAAAATAAACCTTTTCAGTTACTTACATTGAGTATTTCATAAAGTAACAGAAACTGGCTAACACAAGAAATGAAACTAAAATCTGCATCATAAGTCTTTAATATGTCAAGTTAAGGAAGCTGAAGCCTATAGTGTCAATGTAAATACCCAAGTATATTATTTATATTGAAAAAGAAAATTGGAATACTGTTAGTCAATAAACGTGAATCAATATTATAAAATCAGTCACTGAAAGAACTATCTCCAGCTTTGTGGTTTTAAAAAGCATGACAGTATTCATTATCAGAGATATTGGAGAATCTTACAAAAGTTATCCGATTAGAAGATTTTTACGTAGTTTTATGATGGCATGATATCTACTTATAAGTGTATCTAGTTTCCCATCGCTAAAATAATCTATGTCTCTATAATCTTAACATGTTAAACTCTCACTTTTTAAAACATGCTCTAAGGATCTCTGCTTCTTCATTTTTCCCTTTTGTGAAAGTCTGAACGATTGCTTTCATTGTCATTTCCCCAGTTTCCTTTTCAGAAGAGAGACAGTGTATTCTTGTAAATAGCACAGGTTTGGGAACTAGTCAGGGCTGCAGTAGTCACGTCAATGCCTCACTTGCTGTGACACTGGCTTCTGTTTCTCTGCTAGAAAGAATGTAGAGCATAAAGAGAACCCAAGACAAGACATCTGCATCAGGACACACTAAGATGCGTCAGTACTCCATAGTGTAAATTCTCTGATGACCACACCTAACATTGCCTTGATGAGGAGAAAATCTGTCACCTGTCACCTGTGCATTCTTCCTTGCTCAAACACTTAACTGTATTGACTGGTTTTCATTGTGACATTTAGAAAACAAGTTTTGTTGTGACGATAATACAGGATATAGTTTTTAATTCTTTTTCACCAAAAACTTCTTAGACTATTTCCAACACAATCTTGAAAGTAATACTGTTTAAGATATCACAAATGTACTATATACAAAGTGCCCCACTAATAATTTTTACCAGAATTCCCAAAGAAACATTTTGGAAATTATACTACTTAGCAATAGGCCATGAATTGCTACAGATAGCCCAAGAAGATTATTATAAACAGCTAGTTTTATAAGCAATGTATTCTATATTTAGATGTTTCACATACAACTTTAATTTTTTCACTTTAGAAAAAGGTAAAATTACACTTAACCAACCATAGCTGTCATTTTGTTAAGGTTTTGGGATGGGGGGGGTTGAGCTTCTTTTCATTATAAAAGAACAAGGCTATGTCCCAGAGCAGCAGAATTTGAAAGGTAACCTGGTGTGATTAGGCAGACTGAGTCAGTCACAAAGCAACTCTAAGCCATGAAGTACCACAGGGTCTCACAGAGTGGAAAGACATGACCCTTGAGGAAAGGGGTGGAGAACCTAAGAGTTAAGAATCAGTACATCAGCCAGGAGACAGTCTCAGTATATGTCCAGGGAATTTCAAAGTAGGGCTCTAAGAACCAACAACAGGCAGATAAACTCCAGGCTGAGCTTACAGCCCTGCGAAGATGTACCCAGCTTTTTATGTGAATGAGTACAAAGGACCTGAACTTGGGTCTTCATGCATGTAGAGCAAACACTTTACTACATGAGCTATTTCCAAGCCCTTGCAATAAAACTTTAGTGCAGTGAGTTCAGACCTTAATGCAATGAGAACTGTCAGCTAAAAGCTGAAGGCCAATCAAAATCAACCTGCAGAGTTGCCTTGTCTCTGGACTAGACTTCCTTCTCAGAAGCAAGCTCTCTTCCAAAAGCCCAGAATTCCTGCTGAAACCAAAGCCTTACAAAATTTCCCCTAAATACTGAGCCAATGTAAATAACAACCTCAAAATCTTCTCCTAGTAAGGATGGAGAAAGCCCCAAAGGGAAAGGAGGAGATGTAAAGGCAAATGTCCCCGGAGGACACAACAGATCTCCCAGGTGGCTGGATCTCCTTAGATGGCTTTCTTTCCCTGGGGCGGAGGTGGCAGGATCAATCAAATACAATGACTGAGGCATCCTGACAAACTGTCAGGATTCTCTTCCCTGTTGATACAACATTTGCAGATTCAGAAATGAATCGCACAGGAAAGACAAACAATAGGTTTTACTCATTGGTTTATTTTTAGAAAACATTTGCATGAAGCAAATTTTCATGACTACGCTCATTCATTTACAATGTGGCCCCATTTGGATATGAGCCAAATTTTCAGAATATCGTCAAGATAAAATACTTTTCAGTAGATTAAGGAAAGAGATGGTTGCTTGTAAATGTTTTATGAATTCATAGAAGTGGTTTTCAATAATATCTGAGCTGGGCAGTGGTTGTACACACCTTTAATCCCTGCACTCAGGAGGCAGAGGCAGGTAGATGTCTATGAGTTCAAATTCAACCTGATCTACAGAACTAGTTCCACAACATCAGTGAGGGCTGTTACACAGAAAAACCCTGTCTCAAACACGAACAAACAAACAAAAAATACAATGAAGACTTCAACTTGAAAATGTTAGAGATTAAACAGCACATTCTTCCTTGATCACCCCGGTCACTGTCTCCTCCCTGGTAGAATGTGTGTGTGCACACATTGAGAAATGAATGAGGATATTTGCTATCGTCTGTAATTTAGATGGTTTAAGACGGTACATGTTTCCTGCAGTGGAGTGGAGTGCTTGCCTAGCATGCATGAGACCCCGGCCTCAATTTTTAGCACAGTTAAAAAAAAAGAAATTCCATGTTGTCCATAAATCTTATGATTTTTGTCTTGTTTCATAGACAATACGATGTAAATTTCATAATCACAGCTTCAGCTTTATGTTATCATGTCTGAAGTACTTCCTTAGAAAGAGCTATTTCTCACATGCTGTTTGCCCTGACCTTTCATTGGTAGAATTTTGGTTGAGCATTCTGGATAAAGATCCCCTTCCTGATTTTTCTAATTGCATAGAACAACACAACTAACTCTTGCCCATTGTAGTGTACCAAATGTTTTACAACTAAAAGATTGAGAGTCTTTTTCCCAACATCTTTCCATTAGATCAGTGGTCCTCAACCTTTCTAATGCTGCGACCCTCTCATAAATACCTTTTTGCAAGGAAAAGAAATGAGGCAAATGGGATCATGTATCTACTCTGATGCTTAATATCTGAATCATTTTTCCGTAAGTGAGTTCTCCTCTCTCACATTCCCCCACATCATACACTATGTAACTCCTTATAATTTTTCTGTCACTGTATCATGGCCTGTGTCTCATAAACAAAATATCTAGACTTACTCTTCTTCATTTTATGTTCAACTAATTGAAAGTCATTAACCCAATCATTAGTATTTACAATCTTCTACGTAATCTATACTATACAGAAAGGCATAGTTGAAAGCAAATGAGACTTTTTGCATGAGGATTTCTTGAAGTAAAAGAGAAAACAAGTTCCACAAGACAAATTTCACAGAGCAGGAGTAACAAGGATACCAACTAGGTGAGAAGCTGTGAGGCTCAGAAAGGAGCAGAAGAAGGGGAAACCCCCAGTAATTGCTTTTTTAATTTTAACTTGCCATTAACAGTTATAAAACTCTACAGTAGACTATGCCATTTGTCACTGTGGGTGAATGAAAGTTTTCCCCACAGTCGTTGTAAATTTATAAAAATAACAATAAACAAATAATATTTGCTTCTACCTATCCTACCCTTAAACAGAAGAGGTTCACATAATACCCAACATACTGACATATTCACATTTTTCCAAAGTGAGCCATTTTTAATCACAAAACGGCATGTACACCCTCCCTATATCTGTGCGTCCCAGCACTTAGAAACCATCAGTATTCACAAGAAACACGTTTCATCCCCAAATATCTTGCAGACACCAGGTGAGTGTGCCTCCGCAGAAACATGGGACTGAAAGTCCTTCAGATTTCAGCTTTTCTCCAATTTCTGAATATCCACAGAAATGTAATGAGACATCTGGGGGATCGGACTAAACTGAAATTTCTTACAACTCATGCATATCTTATCTCCCTAAAGAGACATCACACAGTGTGGTGAGCACACATATGTTGGAACTGCACTCCATCATGCCTGTCACCATGTCCATGTTGCAGAAGTTTTAGATTATCAAATCAGGAACATAGGTAATGGATGTGAAGCACACTTTTGGTTTAATCTCTGCACCTGTATTATGGAGACATTCTAGGATCACTTTTGAAGTATTGACGTAACAGCTTTTCCCAAGGAAGAACATTACTATGCATGTGGAGCATTCCCAACTGGGAAAGACAATATTACAAAATGCCACAAAATCCAAAACCACTTGAGCACTTGGCATGATGGTCAAAGTAATTCCCGACCTGACCTCACATGACCTATTTACAATGAGTGTAGTAAAAATTATAGGAAAATTGCTTTCATCTCTAGGTGTATGTGAACCATTAAAAAATTTACAATAGAGTAATAATTTCATTTTCATATACATGAGAAAAGAATTAAATCAGACTCCTAAAAATGTCTGGTCCCAAGCCATATCCCTGTCCATGAAACTCTTTTTATGCAATTTCATCAGATTAACACATCACAGGGTAGGAATATTAGAGGCATCGTTATTTGACACAGGATGAAAATGTTTACAAATTTTATATTACTATCTCAGTAAGCAGTGAGAACTTTAAAAGGACACTGAATTTGAAATAATCATACAGAATACTTACACAAATATGTCTAATTTACTAAATAGTGTTTCTATTATATAACCCAATTGCTTTCCAAACTCTTTTTTAGAGTAACTCTCACAGTCGGTTTAGAAATTTTATGAATAAGCCCGGAGTTGGTGGCACACACCTTTCATCCCAGTACTCAGGAGGCAGAAGCAGGCAGATCTCTGTGAGTTGAAGGACAGCCTGATCTACAAAGCAAGGTCCAGAACAACCTCCAAAGCAATACAGAGAAACTCTGTTTAGAAAAACCAAAAAAAGAAAGAAAGAAAAAAAAAGAAATTTTATGAATAATCTGTCTTTAGTTGTGTCCCCATTTTGTGCATCAAAATCTATATACCAATCTCAATGGTGCTATAAACACTTTCCAAATATTTAAAGTAAAATCTATCCTCAAAGAGTGAAGAAGTGTTTATACTGACGACATTCAAACTATACTTAGTCACCATTGGTGGAAAACTCTAAAACACATTCTGAAGACTGAAAGCAGAGGGTTTTTTTTTTGCCCTGTTTAATATTTATTTTATTATTTATTTATTTATTATGTATGACTGAATGCCAGAAGAGGGTATAAGAACTCATTATAGATGTCTGTGAGCCACCATGTGGTTCCTGGGAATTGAACTCAGGATCTTTGGAAGAGCAGTCAGTGCTCTTAACCGCTGAGCCATCTCCCTAGCCCCTGGAAGCAGAGTTCTAAAATGTGTACGGCATCTGAATCTGAATCTGAATCTGAATCTGAATCTGAATCTGAATCTGAATCTGGGTGGGGAGGAGGCTGCTTACCAATCTCAATTGTTCACCATGCCAATCTTGTTTCCAATAACTAGCACTGTGCAGGGACCACCCCAACGTTTCACCGTGACAGACAACTGCACTGGACTCAAATACTCTCTGAAATTAGAGCTGCAGGGTCCTAAAAGTGTGTTCAAATGAAGCAGAGAGTTAACAATGAAGAAGTACTCACATCGGCAAGTTGAGTCACTCCACTTGCTGTCTTGGCCAGTGTGACAAGATCTTCTTGCATCTTATCCACCCATGACTTGATACTGTGGGACCAGAAGGAAGAAAATTCTATCAGAGTTCCTGCAAGTAATGCTAATGCAGTAATATTTTATATACACGCTTCATATAGTGAAATTTTATTCTCCCTCACAGTTCCCATCAAAATCACCTCCCCATTCCACCTTCAAACTGAAAACAATAAAACAAAACAATAAAAGCCTACTGAACCTTTATTACAGTGGAATTTTTATTTTAAAAATATATATGTGTTAGAGTTATTTATCTTCATTTGGCTCTTACATTGCATGTGTGTGAACCCTTCTGGATGCTGAGAGTCCCCAAATCAAAATGAGAAAAATGACAGGGCAGCTTGGAAATCAAGAGGGATAAACATTTGCTCACTCATGACAATTTCAGGAAAATAGTTACTAAGTACAGTATTCAAAAAGACGCATAAACTGTATTTTGTGAACATAAAATGAGTATACAGAATTATACCATCAGTTTTTAACCACTGGAAATCGCAGCTTACAAACACGTCAGTACATAAAGGCATTTATTTCGCCAGCAGCACTGGGATTCTGACTGGCTGGACAGTGGCGTGGTTCTCAAAGCAATGTTTTACATGGAAATTGTTCCTTCCAAGTCTCAACTCAAATACTTTCAGACACATTCTTGTAAATAAAACAGGCAATGTCTTGAAGCACGAACTATCACTATCGCTATATTTTAAAAACATCTAAATCTGAGAGCCACCCAGGGTTCACACACTCTGACTAAAGCAGTTAAATTGTCACTTCAACCCTGTGAGGCATCAGCATGCTACAGGTCTAAAATGAACAGTCTTTTTCTCCAGTTAAACGTAAGGAAATATGGACATCCCGATGTGCATGCTTTGGAGGTGGTTTGTGTTTGAATTTGAACTTATGAATTTGAATCAAGGGAAGTGATGTGTGTCTTCCCTTTCTTCCACATGAATTTCAACAGTTCATCAAATCATCACCTTCATTTCAGAAACATCATAAAAAATTAAACACCACATGAATACGAGATTGAAATAAGGTCTGGGAAAAAACATAAAAGAATAAAGAGCTGAAAGAAGGAAAGAAATCTAAAGTTCATCATAAAGATGATGAAGTGTCTATATGAAAACAATAGTGATTTACAGGGGTAACTGGCTTCTTACTAAATAAAAGACAACAAAAACAGTAATGTATTAGCACAAATGAAATCAACATAAATATTTGGCTCATGAATACTGATGCAAAAATACTCAATAAAATACTGGCAAATCAAATCCAAGAACACATCAGAAAAATCATCTTCCATGATCAAGTAGGCATCATCTCAGGGAGGCAGGGATGGTTCAAGATATAAAAGTCTATCAGTGTAATTCGCCATAAAAACAAACTGCAAAAGAAAACCCACATGATCATCTAGATGCTGAAAAAGCCTTTGACAAAATCAAACACCCCTTCATGATAAAGATACTGGAGAGATCAGGGATAACAGGAACATAACTAAACATAATAAAAGCAATATACAGGAAACCAACACTAAACTAAATGGAGAGAAATTTAATGCAATTTCTCTAAAATCAAGAAAAAGACAAGGCTGTCCACTCTCTCCATACCTCTTCAGTACTGTACTTAAAGTTCCATCTAGAGCAATAAGACAACAAAAGGAGATCAAGGGGATATAAATTGGAAAGAAAGAAGTCCAACTTTCACTACTTGCAGATAATATGATAGTTTCTATAAGTGACCCGAAAAACTACACAGGAACTCCTACAACTGATAAACACCTTCAGCAAAGTGGCAGGATACAATATTAACTCAAAAAATCAGTAGCCCTACTATATACACATGATAAATGGGCTGAAAAAGAAATCAAAGAAACATCTCCCTTTACAATAGTCACAAACAACATAAATATCTTGGGATAACACTAACCAAACAAGCAAAAGACCTGTATATCAAGAACTTTGAGTCTTTAAAGAAACAAATTAAAGAACATACCAGAAAATGGAAAGATCTCCCATACTCTTCAATAGCTAGAATCAACATAGTAAAAATGGCAATCTTGCCAAAAGCAATCTACAGATTCAATGCTATCCCCATCAAAATCCCAACACAACTCTTCACAGACCTTGAAAGAGCAATAATCAACTTTATATGGAAAAACAAAAGACCCAGGATAGCCAAAACAACCCTGTACAATAAAGAAACTTCCAGAGGCATCATCATCCCTGACTGCAAGCTCTATTATAGAGCTATAGTCCAGAAAATAGCAAGCTGTATTGGCACAAAAACAGTCAAGTAGACCAATGGAAAAAAGAAAGCATCTTCAACAAATGGCACTGGCATGACTGGATGCTAGCGTGTAGAAGACTGCACATAGATCAAGTCCAAATGGACCAAAGACCTCAACATAAATCCAGCCACACTGAATCTCTTAGAAGAGAAAGTGGGAGGCAACCTTGAACTAATTGGTACAGGAGACAGCTTCCTGAACATAACACCAGTAGCAAAGACACTGAGATCCACAATTAATAAATGGGACCTCCTGAAACTGAGAAACTTCTATAAGGTAAAGGAGTCAACAAGACAAAAAGGCAGCCCACAGAATGGGAAAAGATATTCACTAGCTCCACGTCTAACACAGGGCTGATTTACAAATTTTACAAAGAACTCAAGAAGCAAGACAATTCTCAATAAAGGAGTCTAAAATAGCTGATAGACACTTAAGAAAGTGCTCAACATCCTTAACCATCAAGGAAATGCAAATCAAAGCAACTCTGAGAGCAACTCTAGGCCCTGTTCAGGATGATATGACAGACTTGAAAATCCCCCATGGAGGTCCTCACCCTGGGGAGTGGAGTGGGGATGGGGTGGGGGATTGGGGTGTTGGTGGGGGGCAGGGGAGGAGGAGAGGGAGAGGGAGCTGGGATTGAAAGGGGAAGCAAGATTGTTTCTAATGTAAATTTAAAAATTTTCAAAGATAAATATTTTGTCAGTAATTCTGTATGAACAAGAGAGGAAAAGGTAAATGACTATGAAAAAAACAACATAAAATAAAATTGGCAGAATCATCAAAATAAATGTTGCAAGTAATGTCATCCTAATATTATAATTTATGCTATTTATGAATGGGTGTACATATCTGAAAAACAGTATAAACACTAACCCAATTGTTACTAGATTAACAGTATTGTGTCCAATTTTATAACTAGGAGAAAAACATACATTAGCGTATAGACAGGAGCAAAGACTACAGACAGCACTGTCTAATTCAAATCGGACTTTCACTGCAATACACAGCTACTGAGTAAGTCCTGGACTCTAGCGAGAATGAATCATCTTTCAAATATGATTCCTAACACTGACAATCAGTAAGACCTGTTAGGCCTGCCTGACGCTGGGGAGATGGGAGAAAGAAAGAGAACGAGACTGTGAACACTCGTGTGCGGGCACAAGAATACAGAAGATTCCTGAAGACTGAAGTATGCCACACTAACGTCACCTGCAAGCCAACTGAGTGCACTGTCACTAGTGATGCTCACAGAGGTGAACCATTCATTTTGGGCTGAGACGTTATTCAGAACCCAACCATTCTTCTCTGCCCCAACTGACAAGCTGCCAAGAATGCTTTAGAAGGGCAAACTTCTTTTTTGATAGACAACTGTTCTTTAACTGATACCTAGTCTTTCTTAAAGTATTATAGAAGCTAGATGAATATAACATTTACAGGAAATAAGCTACATCATTTACCACTAAAATCAACTTCATATTTTCTATTTGTATCACCATTCAATAAGCTCTACTACCTGCTAAAAAGAATACGAAAAGATAACTTGGAATTAAAACTAAGTCTAGGCAAAGGAGGAAAAGAGTAGGAAGAATGTGGTAAACGGAAAATGGTGTTGGTGTCTGGAGAGTCATTTAATGCCTAAATACTAAGGTATAGAGGCTGAAAGAAGAGCTGTAGGGAGAAAAAGAGACCCAGCACCCACTATCACCCTCCTTGGTCTTACATAGGCTGTTTGACTGCTTCTAGGAACCCAGTTAATGTAAGAGCTAATTAACAAAAGAACAGCATGAATGTTTTACTCACTTTCCATGTACACGGAGACTAGGAAAAAAACTAGAGTGCAATGACCAACGACCAAGTACAACCCATGTGTGAGAGGTCGATGGGACAAACGAACATCTGGACTTGAGAAACAAACTCCAGAAATGCTACCAAACCTGGGGGCTAAGAAAGAGTGGAAGGTTAGGGCTCCTTCACAATCTGTTTTTATTCAGGTTCACTGAAGGCCCAGTTACCCCTTCACAATCTGTTTTTATTCAGGTTCACTGAAGGCCCAGTTACCCGTCTGTGGCGATCAAGTCTGTTTCTCAGGTTTAATACATGAAGAACACTCCTCCCAAAAGAATATATTTGACTTGCTACAGGTAGGAAAAAAATGGGGTGCAGAGGGGCAAATGGCCCCTTCCTAAGTTCTATTTCCTTATGTGACATTAGCTAGAAACAATCATGCTAAATTCACGTACTTGAGATGGCATACCATTATTAATACCTTCAAATGTTCACAACAGTAGCTATTTAAGACATGGCATTTGAAAAGGCAGGTGGAACCTGTCAAGATTAAAGCAGTTAACAAAGAAGGCACCGAGACACGGTGTTCTCAGTCAATAATTCACCAAGTTTGACTAGTTGGGGACCATGATACTTTTAGATAATGAAGTGACAGGAATTGGGGGCAGAGATAACTCAGCCAGAAAAAAAATGGTAAGACCAACTCTTAAGTATTTTTATTTAAATTAAAAACAATCTTATTTTACATATCAATCGCAGTTCCCCTCCCCTGTGATCTAGGCTGAGGGAGAATCCCTCCCTGGGAAATGGGCTCCCAAAGTCCATGCATAATGCATGGCTGGAAGGGAAGATTCTTCTTTCATGCAAACCGGAAGGAAAGCATTAGAAGTTGTGAGGCAAGTGGAAACAATTGGAAGGACTAGAGAAAAATGTTGAGATCACTAGT